GTAAGTGCATATGAGAGCATGAGGGTGGGAATGGATGTTTGTGTCTGTGTGTGCCTGTATGTCTGTGTCTATATGTCAGGTTGGGTGTCAGGCGCCACCTCTCTGGGGACATCTCAGGCCCTCCAAGGTTTGGAGGCCTATCTCCCCCTACCACCACTTCCCCTGCCAGTGGCGGACCCCTCAGACATCGGTGCGTTGGTGGTTCTTTGTGTCCGGGGATGGGCGTCCAGGTACACACCGGCTCACTCCTTGGCGGCCGCTTATCGGGGCCTGGAGCCTGGGGCTCGCTCGGGCCACTTCGGAGGTGGGGTGCCCCCGGCCTCTCGGCCTGGGGCTCGGTCACTCAGGCGCAGCTGGCTGCCGGCGGAGCTCACGGGCGCGTCACTGCAACTCCCCCTGGCTTCTGCTCCGCGGCTGCTGAGTGAGCCCTCATCTGGGACTCTCCTCAGCTCTTTCTGGGACAGTGGCGCGGCTGCCCCTCTGTTGGTCTTCCTTGGTCTCTTGTGTTCTGGGGGCCTCTGGATGTCTGGAGTTTTGATCTCCTCCATACCTGCTTCATGCCCTGGAGGACGGGGCTGTGGCCCCCCCACACCCTCTAGCAGATCATTACATGAAGGAACCTTTTAAAAAAAAAAAACAAGCGCGTCCATGCTCACAGGTGTACACACGGGTGATCACACCCACAAACTACACCCTTTTTGGCTCCTACCTCAAAGCACACTGTGTTCTGTTGATCTTATGTGCTGCACAATAATGTTTAATATTTAGTATTTACTGTCATATTCCCATATATCATTGTGATGTTGTTTATTCTATTACTCTTGTTCTCTTCTGCTTGCTTTCTTTTTTCTTTCTCAGCAGGTGATCCAGGTGATTGATATATGCATTTTTTTTTCTCTGCTCATTCTGTTGGTTTTTGTCTTTTGCCCTTCTCCCCCGTCCCTCTTCTCAGCTGTTTCTCTTTCCCTCTTTCTTTCTCCCCTTCTTTCCCCCAGTCAAGTCTGTCCCGTATTCAGTAAGTGAAAATAAAATAAACAATAAAAGGTGAATCAAATGGACCATTACGGCAAGGCTGGGATGGTCAGTTTGGTAAAGTAAATCCGTTGGGCATCTTTCTTTGCCTTTAGACAACAATTCTGATGGCAAAAGAGCCAAACGGGACAGGCCAAAAAAAAAGAAAAAAAAAGAAACGATTCTAAATCAGCACAGTGTTCAATGCTAATGTTTACACACGTGAATAACAACAGCTGACCGTCATCAACAACACTCGTTTATTACAGCCTGATCACAGTCCGAGGTTCACCGTGATTCAGACAGACAGCTGTGTTTGTTTTACTGAAGTCTTTTACACTGTAGCGATGTGATGTTTAGTTGAGACATTTACAGTCAAACGAATTAAACTCTGGATAAAAAAAGTGTCACAAATCGTTGCCCGCATCTTCCGGAAATATAATTGAACAGTTTGGGGTTGTGGGGCGGGTCCTCTCCTCGTGTCGCCTCGGCTCCTTTGCTCGTCTCTTTGACATCACCTGATCTGCTCTCCCTCTGTCTCACCCACGAGTGAATACAAGGACTTTTCATTTTGTGGCTTCCAAGACGAAATGACTAACGGAGGAGTCAGTCTGTAAGACGCTCTGTAGTTCGTGTTTTGATGCGTACAGCTCACACTGAGCACCGTGACAGAGTCCGACTGAAACCACAGCCAGCGCTGGACTGGCCATCGGGCATACCGGGCATTTGCCCGGTGGGTCGCTCGTGATATTTCCCAAATATATATTTCCTATATTGCTTAAAGTAGAGTGGAGGGACAGCAGGTGTCACACACAGGAGAGCGCTATGCCATCACCCTCCTCACCACAGTGACCAGGACAACAACTGAGCGTTTCCACTGTGGAGCCACGCAGGAGGAGCTCAGCCATAAAACTGATGCACAGATCTACCTGCATTATCGTAAGTTGTTTTTGTTGTTTTACACGAATTGTAATTATCAACTCTTTTTTATTCTTTAATAGATTTCTTGGCACCGTTTAAAAAGTTTCGTTGTGTATTTGTTCAACCTTTTATTTAATGTTTCAGAGAAACTGACAGAGGTGAAGTCCTGCAGTCCTGGAGTCGGTTCATGGATCAGTGGGACGTGTTTTGGAGCAATTTCAACTTTACTTCTTTATTTTCTTATAATTAAAGTCAAATATCACATCAGCAGAGGTAAGTGTAAATAATAAAAACACTTATTTTAACATGTCAGACGTAGACATCCATGTAACAGATGCTTAGACCAATGTTGTGTTCAAATTGTTGACATTTTATTCAGATATCGTCTGGTTTTACAGCTGATACTTTGGATTTATGGATTTATTTATCATTTAAAAATGATGAAAAAACTGCAGTTACTAACAAACATTTTGATTTCAACCAAATTTACAGCCACCGTGTCTCAGTTTTCTTCTATGAAGCATGTTTAGCTATAAATGTGTCTTATTTTATTTTATCAGATTTATCTGCTGTTTTCGTTTTTTCTCTGTGATCGCCGAAATTAAAGTTAGTTTAAATTTAATATCGTACACTTACTGTATGTTTTATTTATATATATCCCTTGTGTGTCTATGGTGACCCCAGGGGTGTGTCAATTTTTTTGTATGTTTTGTTTCTCTTTGTGTTGCTTTGTGTTTTTTTTTGTTATTATATCACCGTTTGCTTTTTTGGGATGATGATGATGATGATGATGATGTGTAGCACATTGTCTGCTTGCCGAATAAATATATCTGAACACACTGTCTGTGCAGCCCATGTGGTTTTTTTTTCTTGTGTATTCTATCTGTGTGAGCCACGGCGTAGTTGTGTAGCGTGCTGGGGGGGGGG